GATCTGTCATTTTTTAAGGTGACCAGCAGTGTGGTCGTACGTTATCTCGCGCGTTTTCTGTGGGTCTTCTGGTTTCTTTCCACTGCTACTGAGACTTTTGTTTTCAAACTCAAGTGTGACCGGAAACATCCATCGCCGTTTTTGTTTCGTCTGCTGAACGTTAGTGCCATAACAGACCTATTCTTTCTTGGTACGAAAAAGCGACAAAAAAAAACCCATTCCATACATTCAAAGCATAAATATAAGGTAATGATTTACTGAGATGACCCTATTTTTCCCCTCAAGCAGTGCCGTCCTCGCTCGCTCGTGTCCCTTAATGAATGAAATGCAAGGTGGCCAACTGCTCAATTTCCTTTATACTGAAAAGAATGTGGTTTACCGTCTCGACAACACAAGATTCGGCTATTTTGAGATTAACAGTTGGTAACTTAACTAAAGGATGCAATGCAGGGGGGGATTATTTTGACCGGGCAATTGGCTTTCCACTTTATTTCTAATCTCAACTACCTAGGGTTATTTTTTACATAGGTGTTAACAGGTGGGTCACGATATTTCGTACCATCTAAGGACAAGACACATGTTTTAATTAGCGTCGCGCTTTACTAGTGAAAAAATCGAACCTATTACATTCTAGTCCCTTCACCACCAACCTATCCACAACGTATACGGAATATATTATTTAATACTTAACTACATGTATTAAATTAAAACATTCGAAAAACTTTTCAAACACGGATGTAAATTGTTTTCAGTAACATATTTTTGGGGCGGAAAAAGTTACCCGCGGATATCGATTTTTTTCAGTAACTATGTATATTTGGAGAGAAAAGGACACTTGAATTATCTTATGACTTGTTCTGTCAGAACCAGTCTTGTCCCGAAAAGACAGAATAATTTATTCAGAACGGCAAATTGTAATGATTTTTTATGCAAACTAAATTCAATTTGAATGCAAGAATAAAGTGTTATAAAATAACATGAATGATTTCACCGAACTTTAGTTTTGACGGATTTGATTTGTCAGTACTCAAGAATTCGACCAATCACATTCTGGGCAGTACGGTAAACAAATAAACATGCAACTATTAATCGAACAACACGTAGGTATAAATTAATTAGACCGATTGGCTGTACGACCTTCTGATGAAGGTCCGCCAAAAGGTGAAATAGAAACAAGGTTTGTTTTATACAATATCTCATTCTGCACACCCGAAGAATAGTTCTCAGCTCTGAATGGTCGCCATTTTCAAAATTAGTGTTCTATTTTGTTTTCACGTACACAAAGACTGAATAAATATCAAAATGAAAGTAGAATAAATATTTTGGAAGTATACAGTTAATGTTTTCGATAAAAATCATCGATGAAGGAGGTGAAATGAAATGGGGTTAATGTCCTACTATCTGCATCGAAGACGGTCTTCGATGTGGGAATTAAAATGTCGGTCAGCTTACGTCGTGTCTATTCTCAAGCGGTACTAATATTGTAGACAGACATGGTAAATTTCGTATGACATAACCCAGCATGAATACTCACCATTATCGTTTGATATTTGGATTGGGTAGTCTACTTATAACTTATAAGGATAGTTTTTTTAAAAAGAAATAATCACGATGTTATAATACATAGGAGGAACAATTTGTGTTTTTTGGTTTAAGGAAAAAATGTCTTTCAATAGAATCGTGAAAGGAAAAGATATCCGATTACAATACTTAATAATGATTTATGTAGAAATGAGGTCAAATTTTTAAATAGAAATATGACACACTGAGTAACACACGCAACTTGTGTTTATAATTGTTTGAGGTTGGGGGGGGGGGTCTATTTAGAGGATAATATTGTTTACGATATTCAAAATGCATGATGGGAGCAGGGGTAGGTATATAAATATTTTTGTAAATTCACTCAAAATTATTTATTTAGATGGTTTACTGTATATAGGCAATTTTTTGTACTCAATTTTGACAGTGACGATGTATTTTTAAACGCAATATTTTCATAAGAGATAAAATAGAGTTCACATATAATTTGACAAATAAATCGTTTTTCAAAAATATATATTTATTTTTAGCTTATAATTTATTTCCAGGAACATGAGATTTTTTTAATTTCGATTTTCTCTGATTTTAAGCGTTTATGTGGCCCTCAGGGCAAGTAACGCGCGTGTAAGTAAAACTAATTTATGCGCGTCTTCAGATGTGACAAACAATTAATTAAATGCAATATACTTTATCAAACACTTGACGAAAATACAACATATATATAAGCTCTGGTTTAGTTTATTAGATTGATGACCCAATCCAATGCATTGAAAACAATAGTTTAATGAGCAGTTGCTGAAAGGGTCATGTCGTCCCCTTTATGACGGAGTAAGTATTGCCTAGGGGACGTTTCGTCAGATATCTGTTAATATCAACTAACTGACGATAGTCGTAAAATCCCCGTGCAATACAAGACAACGTTCCGTATTAGGTTAAATAACGTCAATAGACCATTATTACAAATCTAAACTTTAACATGCAATCGTGGACAACTAATCAGAGGTCATCGGTTTATGACGCCTGTGGTCTAAGCCCTCTACAGCGACAATTGGGCCATAATACTCTAAAATTAATATGAAATTATGTTATTTGATTTTATCTTACTAGTCTGACTACGTCAATCAGTAGGGGGGTATTTTTTATTTCGTTGTCGTATACATGTGGCCAGTAAATGACCTTCACAAATTCATGAGCATGAAAATAAACTTTCCCGTGTTCAGATTATATTTTCTAATACTGGTTTCAGTCAATACGTTACTGAAATATGTGAATAAGGATGGGTCTATAAGTTCTCCCTATCTCATCCCATTCTATTTCATTTTTACAATGCCCGGCTAACCCTTATAAATATGCAAATAAGCAGAGGTGTGAAATTTTTCTCTGTCTTACGCAATTCTATTCCATTGTAATCGCTGTTGTAAAAGTCATTTTTTTAGGATGCCCGATAAACCTTTAGAAATATCTGCATATTGCATTTTGATAATTATTCTAAATAGAGCATACACGTGTTTAAGTATGAGCTATTGTATAGCGTTATATTTAGCGTGAGCATAAAGTTTACACTTGTCCTTGAAGAAGAAGTCCCACTGATAAATTATAGTTTGGATTAACTTTTTTTCTTTTTTCACATTTTTAATATGCTTATAGTTTGATTAATCCTATCGACATTATGATGTGAAAAGTTCTTATTAAAGCTGTATATCCGGTATTACGATTGCGTTATTTATGTCATCACTTTCTTGTGCCATTCGGGTCGCCGTTATAAACCACATGCTACTGATTAAAAACATCAACGGATGTTGGTGAAAACAAAAAAAAATATATATATATAATAATTTTGGGAGTTAATTTTATTATCGGATACTTTCTAGATAATTTTATCGTAATGTAGATCTGCAACAGAAATTAATTAATATGTGATTTTATTATGTGCATATGTTTATATGGTAAAGAGCTATGATTGCAAATAGAACATTAGAGAGAAAGTTATAATTATTTCATGGCCTATTCGGATTTCTTCTTAGCTCATAGATATATATCCGCCTTTGTAAATCACATAACTTAACTGTTACCGTACTTTGCGATATTTCATATGCCCTATTTTTAGATTGTCATGACATTAACATTTTGCATAATTCTTTTCAAAGTAAGTACTAATCTTGTTAATTCTCTCAGTTTTAAATCCCATTAATTCTTTGGATTGTAAACTAATGCAATGCTGTATGCCCTTTTTGTACTCACGACTTGTCTTAATATTTTTAGGAAATTCCTAAACATTACATGACTGTTTATTTACATTTCATCTTTTAAAGATATTTCACTGTTATGTCGATTTTATACCCGACACTTTTGTTTTATGGCCGACACCTTGTTAATAAAAGTTCAAGCAGTCTAAGAGAAGTAGACAGGTACATACGTAGGTTATTTATATACATAATAATGATGTTTACCTTAGTGAAATAATTCAAAATCACTCAGTTGTTTACATATATTTAACATGGTCTTTATAAAACATTAATAAGTAACTAATTCATTTTTGTCATCAACAAAGGTGTAATCATTTTAAGTTTTCCTCTTGATATTTTACACGGTTCAATATGTAAATAAACAGGTTGAGTTGCTTAAGTCACTTAATTCCAAGTACTGCGGTGGCTGATATGTTTTCTTTGACACTTTAGAGTATTTAGAAATAAAATTATAGTTAGATTAACTTCGATTCCGAAATAGGTAGATCTCACGATTTAAAAAAAAAAAATCTAGTTCGATCGATCTGAAAGGATAGAAGTTCTTAACTATAAAGTGACAAATCAGGGTAATATAACTTAGACTTTATCAGGGGAACGTTCCACATTAACAGGTGATCTAATGAAAAGCTAGTGGGGTAAAGTGGCTTGACCTAGTGGTCAAACGCGGGTGCTGTAGTCGGGTCATCTGCTTAACCAATTTCCTTGCACTTTATTAGATCCCCGTGTGCAGGCGAATTGTTGGAACAAAATATGCCATAACCTTAAAGGACGTAGTTAGTAAACCCTATGTTAGTATTATCAGGTGTTAGTAAAAAGAGTAAGCATACTTTTCCCTGCGCACAGCATCTTAATTGGTCGACTAATTTTTATAACATTGATATTTTATTATGTTTCACTATCAGTTTCAATCGAACATAATGATCCTATAACTAATTGATGTCTGAAACTAGGGGGCGATGGTAATGAAGATTTCCGTATATTGCTCCATGTCTCGCCATGTTAGTTAGATCCACAAACAAGATAACACGTAGTTGACAGTGATTTAATTAATAGATCTACAACATTTATGACAGGTCAGTTAAAAATAGGGGCGGGGCTACGTTTACTTTTATTTTTATAATAGCATGACAGCACGCGGTAAGAAGTCAGACCGAAGACACGTCAACATAAATCACATCTTTAGTTTTGTAATATAGTTCTTCTTGTATTCTTCAGCTTCTTCACAACTATCGCTGTACCTCAAGCAATACTTGTGAACGGCGGCACACATCAAAGGAAGAGTACCAGGTCGAACGTCAGCGATACTTGACCTGGCCAGGAAGACTGCAGCAGTGATCATTGAAAAAGTCGAAAAACGTATTTAGCCACCACCCGTTGCTCAACAATTTGGATTTTCATTTTTATTATCTAAGTTTTTAAAATTTATTCGTTTTTCATTCTTTGATACTGCTTTCCTGAATTGAAGGTTTCAGAAAATATTGAATAACATTTAATTTTTTGAAGTGATTTCCTTGTCCCGTTGCTTGATGACAAGTTGTTATATAAATAAGAATTCTGTTGTGGAGATAGAGTTGTAACAAATTATCGCTGGAGTAAGTTTCGTAAAATGACAGTTGGAAAAGATGTAAATGAAAATGGAGCAATTTCCAACAACTATCTGGCGATTAATCGCCCGGTTTACAGAACTGGTACCTTTAGAGAAAAATACCTCAAGAACGAAGAGAAACCGCCATTGAAAGAACGATTGAAGACATCGATAAAAGAAGCGACAACATGCACTCCCGAAAAACGCAAGAAATGCTGTTTCAGTTTCTTTCCCGTCATCAAAATTATGAAACGGTATAAATGGCGAACTGACCTACCAAATGATCTGATTGCTGGATTAACAGTTGGAATAATGCAGTTACCTCAAGGTAAGAATACTATAGAATTATTTTGCAATCAATCGATACACTCCAAAACGAAAGTAGGTGTGATTCTGAATTAGAATTTGTTCTGCACAGATTTATTCTAACGACCGTAAAAATAGCATGTCACTATTCCGTAAAACACGAGTTTCACAAAATGCATCTGTGAATGTAAGAGATGATGGATTTTCTCTCTGTTTAAAATTAATGACCAGAATATTTATTAATAGAACATTGGGTCTCGCAAGGTGCGCTTCTTAAACCAGTTTTGTTAACTTTAACTATTAACGTTATGATGTTAGCGTGTATATACTTAAATTCGTAACATGATTTTTATGTATAATACGTTTTCTTTTTCTCTTTTTGCATATTAATTAAGTGTAATCGAAAAATTGTCTAACATGGTCAGATTCCAAAATCGATTGATAAATTCGAGTTAATTGCATGGAATAAGCGTGACACGAAACCTGGGGTTTTACCTTGTAGGCTACTCGTGGTCAACGATCAAAGAACTGCCAAACCATACATTATGGGATAAAAACTGTGTTCTGTTAATGTGTTTACCGATCGCTAAATGCCACTCAAAGATCAATTCATTATTGTTTAGTGAGCTCAGTAAGACGATGGCTCGCTACATTGTATTGTCTTTTAAACCGGATTAACTTATCTACCTTAAAATTCCATTGGTGCTGGGTATTCGGACGGGACGAAAACCCGAGGTGCTGTGTACACATTGGCGTCCACGTAAAAGAGTCCATGGCAGTTGGAATTCGAAATAAGAGTAGACTGAAGCGCCGCTGTTCGGGCAAAATGTCCCTCATAGCACACTGAATGGCTTGTGCCCGTCTTCATTAGCACAGTAGAAAGTTAAACCATGCTTACAGATATAAATAACCCATTTGGCATCTAAAATAGCTATTATAAACAAATAATAAATGTAAAGTATTAAATTTAGGTGTAGAAAATGATCTTTTCACGCACAGAGCATTCCGAGCTTGACTTGTAAGTGTCACGAGGCGTTCGTGATGACGAAGGTTACGAGAGGCAGACATAAACAACTTCATCGGCGATGCATAACAGTAAATCCTTTAGCCTTTTTTTTTTTACAAACATTATATTCACGATGGTTGGTGAGTTGCCAGTAGCATTCCTTCCCTTTCCAACATTTTGAGTTAATCGACGGGATATATTGTAATGGAATGGGATTTGATATCGCGTCAAGAAAATACTTCTTTTATTCTGAGACAGGCATATAGTAATGTTTTATTGCCATGGTTACGTGTGTAATCCCTGATAGGAGAAGTTTGCCCAGACAGCTTCGATTTTCAATAGTTAAGGATTTTTTTACGCGCACACCAACGTGTAAACGGTTGGGCTCCAGTTTTGGGTGTATTTAACGTCACAAAACCGCCCCACGTCATACACCCCCATTCATATCAATATAAATAGTTTTAACAGTTCTGAAATCCTAAAAAATAAACAGCTTATGTGATGATCGTAAGCCTTTGAACTGTCACATACACCTGGCAGATGTTTTAGAATTAGGTCATCGTTAGATATCAATATTGTTATAGGCATCATCGGCTTGGTCAAGCAGGAGATTTTCGATAACATCCCATGCCAACATCCAAGGCATGCGATCCCTCGTCAATACCATTTTGTTGTTTAAATGACTATTGCCAGATATTACAGCACGGTTTAATTGAGTCTTGTCAGTCAGATATTACAGCCCTGTTTAATTGGGTCTTGTCAGTCAGATATTACAGCACTTTTTAATTGGGTCTTGTCAGTCAGATATCACAGCAATGTTTAATTGTGTCTTGTCAGTCAGATATTACAGCACTTTTTAATTGGGTCTTGTCAGTCAGATATCACAGCAATGTTTAATACAGTACCATGGACCTAAACAGCAAATACACAATTCGCTATGGAGACAAAAACTGACACAGAGATTTGTCAATGCCACAATAGTAATATCTTCGAAATTGATTCTTCTTGGGAATTCTTATTATGATCAGGTTTGTCAAGATTAACCGGAGTCGTATTGGCCTGATTGTCTATTTGATTCCATTCAAATTACTTTATTCTGTTCGAAGTTATGGGTGTTTGAAAGAGTAACGTATATCGTTTATCATTGTAGCAACGGTACTGGACAACCCAGACTAAGTCTCTATTATCCATTTTATTGTTAAATCTCGTGGTTGTTTTATCCATTCAATCTCGGCAGAGTTGATTATAGGCTTGTCATGTGAATAAATGTCTAAATAATAGTGTACATGTATATAATATTTGAAGCCGATTTACCTATTACATAATGCATCTTTATAGTAGAAAATAAGAAGCAGTGGAAAATATAAAATTAATTCAGGCATCTTCAAAATATAATAGGGGGGGGGGGGCGAGGGGAGGGTATTGAGGTCCGTTATTGACGTGGTTTCGGTTCCCCGCTTTCATGTGACAAGGAGTAGGGTCGCCCCCCCCCCCCTCTCTCTCTCTCTCTCTCTCTCTCAAAATATAATATAGATCTAATGTATGTTGTTTTATTTCAGGAATGGCATATTCTATGTTAGCTGATCTTCCACCAGTCGTTGGTCTCTACATGTCTTTCTTCCCGCCACTGGTCTATTTCCTGTTTGGAACATCTAAACAAATTTCTATGGGTAAGTTGGTAAATCAAACAATGTATTTTGGTGGAGATTCTTATAATTATTATTATTTTTGTGCGGTTTGTTCTAAAGCACCTTCAACGGGTGCAGTACTGACCTTTGCGTTTATACAATAGAAATATTTTCTTCTGTATGTTCTTGCAATTGAAAATAAATTTACGGATGTCATGTTTTTAGATTTTATGGTCGAGCAGAATAGTCTGGCACCTGTCCTGCGGTAAACCTCAATCTATATCAATGGGAGTGCCTGGATTTACTTAAGGCTTGGTAGGTTGGCGCTTAGGGCCTCAAGATCAAGGTATATAATAATTTTGACACTGCCGTTAGCCTTTCTTACACGCACGGTACTCTTAGCCACCCGTCAACATCCTCGGCTTTGCTCAATTGCGTTTAGTCGTCGGGGTGGGGATTGGGAGCCGCCTCATAAGTGGAATAGCCTGGACCCTATCTTCTTCTAAATCCGGTACTGATCAGTGCATTTCTAGAATCTAGTAATATTTGATTAATAATGTTACTTCTAGGTACGGTGGCTGTGGTTAGTTTGATGACTGGTGGTGTTGTCTCCCGGATGACTGCTGCATGGAAAGCCGAACAATCTGGTCTCGATGGTGGTTTGCTGAATTCGACTTTACTAAACGGAACAATGGGTATAGAACAGGAACAGGAGGGCTTATATAGTGAAGAGGAAACAAAGTTCCGTATTGCTATAGCAGCCAGTGTTGGGTTCGTTGCTGGTCTGGCACAGGTAAGCAAATTTCTCCATTGCCAACACAATTATGTACCGTGTATTTCCGTCGTTAGATCTGTTCTCTAGAACCCTAAAATGTGTCTAAACGCACATATTAATGTAATGCGAGTGTATATAAAGTGATTAACATTCATGTTTCTTTAAATTGTAATTGCTAATCAGTTATGTTTGGTGAAATGCGCGAAAGACCAAGTTGAACTGTGACTGCTTAGTCCTTAACAGTTTTTTTTTATAAAAAATGATCATTTTGTCGTTTGTTAATCAACCATTTTTAATTACTTCTTAGTTGTCTTTTGGGGGATGTTTTTCTTTGTTCAGTACAAATGGCACCCGAAACCGTTCTGTTCATAGAGTACACGGCATCGTGTACTAATTTAAAATGTTCACCGTGTATTAAATATTATGACGATGTAGTACCTGAGCTTAAAGTTTCTACTTTTATCAACAAAATAATCTCTAACGAATTAAATTATCCTCCTTATATCGGTTCAGCCAAATTATTTTTTCTTATTCAATATTATAATATTTTGTAGGTTTTGATGGGGTTTTTAAAAGTAGGTTTTGTGACGACCTATATGTCTGATTCTCTAGTCAGTGGTTTTACTACTGGTGCAGCGGTTCATGTATTTACCAGTCAAGTTAAATATGCTCTAGGAATCTCTATACCCAGGTTTGAAGGCATGTTTCAGATAATAAAAGTAAGTACGAGTTATTTAGATAATGGCAAAACACGATCGATATACATGCTATTCTTATTACATAATTATGTATATAAAAATTGACGGTAATGTTGCCCTTTAAGTTCTAATGTAAAAGAATAATGGATGGTAATGTAGACCTTTAAGTTTTGATGTAAACGTACAATTGACGGTAATGTTACCTTTTGAAAAAAACAAATTGGCGTTAATGCTGGCCTTTAAATTATAATTTAAAAGAACAATTGACGGTAATATTGTCCTTTAAGAAAAAACATAAATAATAACAAAGATAAAACACATATATTTTGCAATACTCCAACTTAAATGAATCTTGAATAATTGGATCAATTGAATAATCGCCCCGGGACCTCTACATGTAGGTTAGCGAGCCAATGTTATTAAATAATGGTAATTCAAACATACCGGCATCCCAGCAAACTATAACAAATCAATATTGTGTTAGGTGAGACCGGATATTCAAATCACTTTCTGTCTCAGAAACAGATGCGTTATATTAACAGTAATCTACATCAAACAATGACCAGACAAAAGTTCCTTCATAGCAAACAATATGGCGTTAACCCGTCTCCTTTATCCCAGTCGGAGCAGAACTGTAGGACGTCAAACTTAATTTCATTTCAGCATGGGTTAAAATTTCATACTTTTGAAAAAAAAATGCAAATGACGCACAACGACTTTAAATTAAGATATTTGACATTTATTATTTCTTAAGGAGGTTTGATTTTTTTTGTTGCGAAAAATGCAAATGACGCACAATAACTTTGAATTAAGATATTTGACATTTATTATTTTTTATGGATGTTTGATTTTTTTTTCGAAAAATGCAAATGACGCACAAAAACTTTAAATTAAGATATTTGACATTTATTATTTCTTATAGATGTTTGATATTTTTCGAAATGTACCGATGACACATTTAATTCCTATAGTTGTCCTTTAAGGAGTGTTTAATGCATATTACATATTGGAAAACATGGTCCCAATTTAAATTATATGTAGGCTGAAATACGTTATCCGTAGAAAAACTTGTTGATAAATGAGTCCTCATGGATAAGTCTAGAAATAATGGAATAAAACCTTCTCTTATCGTATAATCTCTTACCGTATTTTTCATACTAAAACGGGAAACGGGATGGAATCGAAATGGGGGTTTTAATGTCCGAGACAAACAAATGATAATTATTTCTTTTTATTGCTGCGTTTGTAAATAGAGGTAAGAGATATTTGACCGGATATCGGCGTTTTCGTCTAAACTTCTTCTGTGAATTCCAGTGTTTAGAGTGTTTGTATGACCACTTAAATCTGCACACGAATGTTTGTCGAATTTTTGTCTCACCTTTCTGCCGTATGATTCGATGCTGAAAATCCAGTCTAACCGCTCGTCTACCACGTTTCCAGAAACTTGATTTGAATTTGTTTATGGGAAGGGATAATGAACATAGATTGATTTGGAAGCTTCGCAAATAAACGAGAAGTGGTAACGGGTTTTCTAGAAAAATAAATCATTTCCCGTCTAATGTACGACCTATTTCACGTCTGGTAGCTGTTGGTTTATTAGTCAGAGATTGTCCTTGTCCACACCTCTGCAAAATCACTGGTTTGTACGAAGATTATCTGTCTCTGACATTGGTTTAATTAAGGTTTATAGGGAGCATGGCTGGCTCATTAGTTATGGCGCGCTCTCACACCTGAAGATTTCGGGTTCCTCTGTATTTCTCATTCTGGTTTCCTGTTGCCAGCGATGCATGGCGGACAGAAAAGCGCCTGGTTGTTCGGAAACGCTGAACACCGAGGTCCACGATAAGAGTTGACCTGCGTAAAAGAATCATTGGTAGTTGGTGAAGAGTAGGTGAACACGCCGTTGTCCGGGTAACGATTCCGCGTACCACCAAATTGCGCGGTCTATGTTGCGTCTTCGTTTCCGGAAATATAAACCCCATTTCATTTAATTTCATTTATCATTTTTGGAAATTTAAAGAGTCTTGTTTGGGGTAGGATGGAAACTTAACTGTCGGCGCGGTTAATTGAACTTACAATGGCCCTAGTTATACTCACCAAACAATGATTTATTGTATAGATATTAAATGGCTAACCACCTGGTTTGTCCCAGGGACAATAATACAGAGCTTTGTCTCTTTTCTTTTATGGACTGTGGGACTGAATAATATGTATGACCAATGGAGTTATATTTTATTGCTTAAAGGGTGTTGTGGGAGATTAGATAAAGAGTTGACAGTTATCGCTATAATAGTTACAAAATAGATAACGTAAATAGAATATGCTAAAAATTTCAGTCAAATTGCTCCACTCTGAACCGAGATATTAGATTTTGAATTTTAGGCTAGCCTCGATCATCATTACTAAAGTCTATACGATAAAAAAACAAAGTCTCGATTATCCACTTTTACATTTAATTATTTTTCAAAAAATGTACCCCAATCGGCTAAATATCGAGAGTTGATTATGGCCTGGACAAGTTGATTAATATCTAATTAATAATTTAGATAACATTTCAGGCCTAAAGAAAGATCTGCAATGGGCAGATTTAGCTCTTGCATAATGTATGTTTAAGTTGTCTTTTATATATAAATTATCGGTAGACGGAGGGGAGATTCGTGTACCTAACCGCTTGATTCACATTAACATTAATATTTTGCATTTTTATGTGCCGCTGTCGTGTACTGTTCTTTGCGTGTTCAACATTAAGAATGGATTATTTCTATTAATTAAATTTAAAGATGCATTCTGCAATAGCTAAATCTGCCTTTTGCGGGCCTCTTTTTATGGCTTTAAATGTTATGTTTGGCTGTCTTATAACGGTATGTACGGTAACTCTTCAACTAAATGCCAGAAAATAACGTCTGGTAATTATTCATTTATTCCGATGATCTGCATTGATCGCCATGGTTTGTTCTATCAACCGATATTTTCTTCATCTTGTTTAAATCTAGATTCCAACAAAACATGGAAGTCACCGTGTCCTGTCGTCTGCTTCTTGGGTCCTGACCTTTTCATAATAAAGCCATTTGCAAAACGAAGTAATGGAGTTTAAAGATACATTAGTTAAGAGTTTTATGAAGAGTTGGCCCTTCTTGCTATAATAATTTAAAAATAGATGATAAAAAATGAAAATGTTAAAAATTTCTGTCAAATTATTTTGTTCTGAACGGAATTGTCACTGTTGGAAGTTTGGACTAGAAATAGGCATCAATTGTGTCTGCACCGTCTATGAGAATTGGCGATCGTTTGATTGACAGACGATAACTCCACCGACATATTCTCGATTATCAAGTAACATGCTTAATGGCTATAATAGCCTCGCTTGTCAGGCCTTTCATCACCAGTTTCCGGTAGTGACATCAGCTACTAACGGTAAACGTTAGCTTGGTCCGCCATTTATTGATTTGATTTTAAATGGACGACTGTTAAAACCAAACTGTATCCAAGCCATCCGGGGTCTACATAAACGTTACGGGTCATGGACAAATCTCAAGCACCTATTCGATCACCCAAACCTAAAATGTTCTAGTTCGAGTCCAGTGTTCTAATTTAACCCAATGGCTTATTCCACATTTAAACCCAAAGGCGGTTCTTTAAAACCAAGGTAGGTTTTACACGGCATTCGGAATAACCAATGTTTCCGTGTGAGTCCTAGAGACAATATCCTCGAGAAGTAGGACACGGTCTTCACACTGCTGAAGGTTCTTTTATATAGACTCATCCTAGGACTCGAACCAAGGACATCATAGTTATGTGTGTGTGAAATAGCTTTATTCAACGTCCGCTTCCAATGAAGTGATATCGCAGACAATCATAGTTATGGGTTCATTGCCCTAAATATACAAATTGTGTTAATCCTATTTTTTGTATTCTGTCTTCGCGTCCAAAGACCTTGCTTAAAGGTACCAAAGCATTACTGAAACATTAACAAGACCAACGACTTGGCAAAGTTTTAACAATTTTACCGATTACAGTTTACATAAAGCCTGGTGTTATATGATCACCCCACGGCCTATGACTTGATGTTATTATCTTGGTAATCCTTCTAGAATTGAGAACTATTCCAGGGTTTACAATGTGATAAACACTGATCCAGACATTACGAGTTCAATTCCCCTGTCTGGTTACACTGAAACTGGAAACTCCGGGTCATTTTACGTTCATCGTGTATATTATTTCAGTACTCCTCTATTCTATTTGTATATGTCTTCCATAAATGGGTGTGGGGTGGATGGCCGAATGATTAGCACGTGCGCGCTGTATCATACGGTCTGTCATTGAGTTAACTCTCGTGGTTTCGATTCTCCGGTTGTACATGAAAATTAGTAGGGTCGCCTTTCCAACCTCGGGGGTGTTCTCCGGGTCCTCCGGTTTCCTCCCACTGCTAAAGACCCTTACGCGCAAGCGAATTATTGAAATAAAATTGAACCATATGTTAGTCCCGAAATGGCCTAGTTTTGTCGAGTGGACGTAAAACCCCATTTCTCTCTCTCATTCCATAAATGGTTATAAGGAGGAAAAGAGGTTTCGTGACAATGCAGCAGACCCTTTTATCGATTCAGAATCTAGATGGCTTTCTGTCGTCTGAATAGTGATAAAATCAATCATATTGAAAATACTGCCGTATACTAAGAAGACTGGGCTGGGAATTTAGCGGACATTTTGTAACTGTCGTGTACTTTCATTGCGCTAACTTTGTGCTCAGAAGCTACCACTACTACTTCTAGATTGGCGGTTGCTTCCATCTGCCAGATGCCATCATGTCTTCATCCACAGATATCTCACTTATAGTGAGGAAACACCACCATAAGTTTACAAGTCCGGGGATTTCTAAGAGTAAAACAACATAAAATATACTCGATAGGTTGACACGGATATTGTTTGAATGTAGCTGGGTGATCATTAACGTGACTAGGTTTAAACTGCGTTAGCGCCGGGGATAACACTCCGCCAAGTACGTAGTCTAGATCAGGTGATCGTGTTTACAGACGTACAGAGGGCGATGACCCGGTGTGAGTTTATAGTTCAAACCAGCCATATCTAGTTAAAGATACATTATGGGAGATTTTAATAGAGAGTTGGCCATTCTTGCTATAACAGTTCAAAAATAGATGATGAAAGAAGAATATATTGAAAATTTCAGTCAAATTGCTTTATTCTGAAAAAAGTTATCACTATTGTAATTTTTGACTAGAAATAGGAGTCAACTTTGCCTTCACCATCTCCGAGAATATACAATCGTTTGATTGACAGGCGTTAACTCCACCTACATAATCTCGATTATCAAGTATCACATTTATTTTTACTACAAATTAAAAATAAGACTTTTCATATATAGATAAGAAGCGAAAGTTTGAAAGGAATGGACCAAATCAATGAGGCATAATTATGGCCGACTTCTTGTTAGCCTGCGTGTACTCTTTCTTGTACTGTAGTAACTGGTAGGCCTACGTAACTCCCGAACAGTGATCCAATGGAGCTGCAATTCAACTGGGGTGATGTTAGTCGCGATGTTTTAAAGTTCTATAATTTTTCTGTAAACGCAAGTGACAAGAGAGCGTATAATACCGACATCCAAACTCTCATTTTAACCACAACTAAACATAATATCAAGGCCGTTAAAATTTCAGTCAAATTGACTGACATGCGGCCTCGCTCAACAGCGGCCTCGCTTCGTACAATCTATCATTTAGCCTCGATCTAAAATTATTTCCGGGAGTATGACGTCAACGTAACGGTTAATCTCCGCTTACGACGCCATTTAAAAATTAATCAATCAACGAAATCCTGTTTAAATCCAAGCCGAATCCAAGCCATCCGTGGGTCTACAGAGTTGATTCTGTGCTTGTTGTGTAAATAAAGATCTAATTTATAATTTCTATGACATCTGAAACCTAAATAAAGACTTGCAATAATCAGATTTAGCTCTTGCATAATGTATGTTTAACTAACAACCTGTTTTAATGTTTCTAGAAGAACAAGTTTCTGCCGTACAAAGCATTAATTTAATATGACGTATTATGATTAGAGAAACCGGGTCGGTATGATTTGTCATCAAATTGTTAATATTATGCGTATGACTACCCAGCTTGATAAACAAAAATATATCAAACCCTCATTTTGATCAATCAAAGAGATCCCGTCTAAAGTTTCCAGAAGAGTTTTTATACTTTAGTTAATCAATTGTTTAACTCAGGGATTCAGAAATTTTTTATCTATGCATTCATTCCTTTTTACGTTTAACGAATCTGAACAGTGTTCCAGGTGGAGTTTTAAAAACTACGCATTATTTCATTATACTATTAAGACATACAAAAATACCCCATCGAAATACAAGATCTTTTATTCGAAAATAGCTAAATGTAGGTATCCATTATGTTTAGCAATACCCGATAGTCAAGGGGAAACGTGGTGTGGACTCATCGGTTCCACTAGATCAAGCATACATTCACTGCATTTTACGACACTGACTATGGGGGTGGTGGTATTAAAACCCATTACTTATAAACTGGAGACATCATAGAACATATAATCAGATGTGTATTTAAATAGATTCCCCATTTAATGTTGTTTCTTTTATTTAAACATCTATAACAACATTAATTGACATGCCAGCATATATTGATAATAACGTGTTCCATCCTAAGTTTAACATTTTGCATTAAATATAAGGCAGAAAAATAAATATATTCATTTTAATTGGTCCGATAGCTTATATTGACAATAACAAGCCTCGTTATAACATTTTAACTAGAATATTATACATGTAGATTAATTACTAATAGCAGATCGTAAGGACAACATCCTACCTTAATCACTTGGAATTCACATTAAAAATAAATGGCTTTGTTCATAAATATCACGGAATTATTTTATTACATACTTAATTTGTTTTAAAAATATATCACCATTTACTGGTACGTAGGGACCACTATATCGTTTACAAGTACGCAGGGACCCTTATGTCATACACATGTATGTATAGGCCCCCTATGACGCAATATTGATGACTATAGGTCAGAATATTGGTTTCTGTGGGCTCGTTTGATTGATCGATATCTCGATGTCCTTTTTTGATCTAATTCCAATATTCATAGAAAATAAAGTTAACGTATGTTAGTTTGAAAATGATAATGCTTGTTTCATAGACAATTTTTGACATGACGTCACAATTCCAAGATGGTGGCAATTCCTGTGCCCAGTTTCGCAAAACATTCTAAGGCTTAAGAGTTATGAATTTACTCAAAATTGTTCGCTATAATTTAACCAAAACATAGCCCTTTATAAAACTGTTGATATTTTAATGTATCAAATACATCAATAAGAAACTATGTGCAATTTGTGTTTCTGGATCAAAGATATTTCAGAGTGAGTCCGAGAATGTTTTGTGAGACCACGGCCTGGTCGATAGTACGCTCGTTCTATGTGCTATCAAGTATTTTACTGATTTTTTTATAATTAATTGTATTTCAGACGTATGCTTCTATAATTTCTACAATAACTAAAACGAATATACCTGAGATGGTAATAACGTTAATCTGTATTGTTATTATCTACCTGGTTAAAGTTCAGATTAATCAACGATTTAAACATAAATTAAAAATACCTATTCCTGTAGAACTTCTGGTGGTAAGTAACTGGGTTTTTATTAGAGGGTATCTGAGATAGGGTATGAAGTATTTCAGCATATTTTGCAATTTATTCATCATATGACTAAATTGATAGTATCAACTTCTTGACGGGGATCGAGTCGCATTGTGGTCAAACACGTATTTTAAAGGAACAGTCCCAGATAAAATGTCTTATTCTAGTTCATTATATTGAGGCATTCGGAAACCAAGATACACAAATTTGTCTATTGCTTATGTGTAATGAGTGACCCGATACACGAATGAACACCACAACAGATTAGCCGATGTAGATGTGATTATTCAGGCACCTTTGTAACTTTCAATTTGGGAACTCGTGTTTAACAAAAATACATCTGGCAGCTTGTATTTCTTTGAAAACTAATCACAGTTCTTCGGATACTAGATAGGGTCTTTCCAAATAAATAAAATAAATACAAAGTGGCAAGAATACCGGTATTCATACAATATTTGTGTAATATTTCCAGGTTATTGGTGCGACACTTGCTTCCCATTTTGGTAATTTTCATCAAATCTATAAAATAAGAGTTGTTGGTAAAATACCTGCTGGGTAAGTACCTTATTTACACAAGTGTTACTTTTCTACGCCGACTTAGGCATTAAAGACGGGCATGCGTATTGCAGTGTGCTATAAAGGAAATGTTCTACTCTCATTTCGCATTCCAACTGTGTACAATGGAAAACCACGCCCATTGGGGAAGGACGTACATACAATGTACAATGTCATCAGTTCTCCTATGAACACAAACACATCTGCTCATCGACGCTTTCAGATCACAGGCAGTTGGGGTTAGCGAAAGTAATATTACTAAAGGGTGATACAAAATGGCAGATTTATCTACACCCTACATGAATTCCCCTAATGCATAATTTATAGAACAAGAGCCTAATTCACGAACATATTTAACGTGTATATTTTATAGAATGCCGAACCCGAGTTTGAACATATATAACTTGTATATTGTGTATAGAATGCCGAACCCGAGTTTGAACATATATAACTTGTATATTGTGTATAGAATGCCGAACCCGAGTTTGAACATATATAACTTGTATATTTTGTAGAATGCCGAACCCGAGTATGCCTGATTTAGGCCGTGTTAGTGAATATAGTGTAGATTGTATTATCATAGCTATCATAGCTTTTGCTCAATCTGTATCGCTAGCATCACTTATGGCTAAAAAACATCATTACGACATAGATTCTAACAAAGTAAGTATCTTATTATCTATTATCGTTTCAGTCGTCATTCATTTTGTATCCAAGGACAAAAATACACCCCCTCTCCTATTTGCTTGAAATGTGAAATAAAGTGGGAATAAATGTAATTGAATACAGCTTGCCGTGAATAAGCTCAATTCAAACAGTGGTGCAAAAGATGAGAACGGTCTTGACAGGGTTAGATCTATTTTTAAGGCCAACTTCAACTTTGGTTAAAGGTCACGAGATGTAAACAGGGCTAGCGCTAATCTAACCCTAACCCTTACCCTGGACCTAGCCTTAATGCTTACCCTAACTTTAACCTACAATTTCGTGCCCTAACCTTATTTACATCTCAGCGACCTTGACGAAAATTGAGCTGGCCTTAACAATAGATTTAGCTGTCTTGACAATGGTGGTGTCACGAATTACATGATTAGGTCGAATGTCAAATTATTATGCCTAATAAGAGTGATAACTCAGATTAGAATCGCCTGTTTTGTATCCAATGGAAAATTAGTTAATGGGCGGAATCAGCTGGAGTCAACAGGCCTTTATGGTTTGGTTTAAACATATTTTAATGGCAAATAAAAATATTCCGTCTCCATTGGGCCATTCGGAGCAGAACTATAAGACATTAAACCCCAATTTCATCTTATTGACAAATGTCTTAAAGGACAGTACACAAGTTTTAAAAACTGTAACCATAATATCCTTATTTAATGCCCGATTCCCACTGACGTCTCTGGAATAAAATGTAAGTAGATCTACTGAAACTGCTAGGTCGAATGTTGATCGCTCTATATATAAGATTACAATCTTAGTTTCAAATACCGATGTCTAGATATATCAATAATATACACACTGTTAAACAAAGCAGTAAGCATAGGGTCTTTGTCATAACAAAAACCTAACAAAACAGCAAATAATTATTTTTCTCTCTTTTTTTAAAGGAATTTGTAGCCTATGGACTTGGCTCTTTCTTTGGGTCGTTTTTCTCGTGTTATCCAATAGCTGCCTCTGTATCAAGAAGTTCTGTCCAGGATTCTGCCGGTGGTAAAACACAGGTAACCTTGGATCTCAATAATTTATCTCATGCCCAATAATTTAGCTCATCCATAATGATTTTCTCCCACCGAAATAATTTAACTCATCCCCTTGTAACTTAACTCATCCCCAAAAATTTATCTCAACTCCAACAATTTTCTTCATTCACAATAATTAACTTACCTCATCCCCAATAATTGAACTCATCCCCAATAATCTAACTCGCCCTCAATAACTTAATGAGTCTCAAGTAATTTACCTCCACCCAAATAATTTAACTCATCCCAATATCGTACCTCATCCCTAGTATTTTACCTTTCATGTAACTTACATTAATATTTTATTTTATATTATTTTCCAGTTAACCAGTGTCTTCTCTGCCTGTCTTGTATTAATTGTGATATTGTTTATTGGACCATTGTTCGAGTCCTTACCAAATGTAAGTATAGCGTCTGCCAGTTACAGTTATTTGTATTACAATCCTAACGTATGGACTGTACACTTTCCACAGTCCAAATTGTTTTGAAAATTTGCCTTTAGTTGATTATGTATTAATAACAGAAAGTAAGACACCATTCCCATTGAAAGTCATTGATACGGAATGTAATCCATTTTATTAACTTGACACTGGTGTGCTAATAATATCTACATGTATACTGAAGTGGCTTGCAGTTTGGTAAAGGGTAGAAAATTCCAATATCGTGAACAGAAAGGAGCGTCTTATGCAGACCATATTCCCAGGTGCCAAGGGAAGTAAATGACTTAGTTTTGTGACATATCCTACACAGACCTTTAAAATTAAGAGATTACTTTGGGCTGTTCCCAAAATCAGTTGATATTAAGCTTCGACCAGTAAGGTTTACATTTTCCATGTTATTTTTTTCAAATTAACAAATATTATGCGTATTCTCTAGAATTTCATGAATATGCCATATTGTTTCTTTACAGTGTGCTTTATCAGCTATTATCATAGTCGCTTTAAGAAGTATGTTCTTACAGATCTTAGAATTACCTAAGCTCTTTTCTATATCTCCATATGATGTGGTAAGTTAGTATTTTCTTGTTACGTCGTACTCGTAATAGAATGTAAATCTATTCGGCACCAGCCTTGTCAAGTAAACGACAAATATTCGGGTAGCTAGTGCCTGATAGTATAATTCCATTATGAAAATCAATTTGGGCCAGTTGGTGCTGACATGCCATTAATTTACTGGAGTAGGTTTGTTGATTTTAATATGATTATTTTCAGGCGATATGGTTAGTGACATTTTTAAGCGTGGTTGTCTTACATGTTGATTATGGTTTAGCTATTGGTATTGTTTTCTCTTTCTTAACTGTTGTTATCAGAACTCAGATGTAAGTATAGTCTATAACATTTTTACATTTCACATAAATTATCTGAACCAATGTATTTTATATTCCAACTTTGGGTAGTGTTTCTGATCATATATTCATATTCAATGCGATATCTTACAATGTTTAAAAAATATCAATTTTCGCACTCTTCTCAGATCGGCTCACCCACACGCAATAATAGAGTACTTCACACGTTATGCCCCGGATTTTCCCTTGGGTTCTCTGATCACCCCACCCCATCCCCTACCCGACACTAAACGAAAATTATGCCTGTGTTTTTAGTTTTTGGATTGTTTTTTTTTCATTTTAAGACAATCCTTTATCAATGTCGGCCCGGAACTGTACGGCGCAGTGGACACTTACGGGTGGAACCCGGATCCATTCACTCACTTGATTTAAAATTAAACATATTATCAATGTCCATGTGTTATGCGTGTGATGCGATTCATCCGCGGATTTGTCTTCTGTGTTCTGTTTAACTTGTGTAGAATCTGCGTCCAACAGGAATATGAAAACAATGGACCGAAGGATCCGATACGGAAGTGTTCTTCACTAGATAAATATTAAAGTAGATAAACAAAAGAGACACTAACACTGTTTTCATCGACAGATATAATTTGACCAACGTTTCGAAGAGGTGTTCTGTTTAGTTATGGCACGGTTCTCATCTGCGCTTTTTATATACAGCTAATACGATCAACCATAGTTCAACCATAGAATTTTCTTATGAATATTATTTTTTAGGGTTTCACCAAAATCATTAGAACAGGTATCTGATGTCGAGGTATTACAAAGAGCTTCCGATTATGAAAAGGTGAGATACATGCAATAAACTATTTTTCATTTCATACATTAGTTTCAAATAACATGGGTGGGGGTAGATCACAAAGTCTGTCATCATTAAGTCAAATGGAGTGATTTTGATACCCCACTTGTACGCAACAAGGAGTAGGATCGCCTGTGCAACATCGCGGGTTTTCTCCGGGGCCACCGGTTTCTCCCATTGTTAAAGAGCAAGCGAATTATTGACATAAAATTGAACTATGTGCTAGTCCCGAAATGACCTAGTTTGTGTCGTTGAGTGGACGTTAAACCGCACGCCTCTCTCTCTCTCTCCTTTTCTCTCTCTTTCCGACTGTGGGACTTCAATGATTTGGAATGACACTACAAAAGTCGTATTATTTATAGACACATGAATCACTTTCTTGAATTGGTCATCCCGATTCTCATTTGTCAGAAACAAGACCTATAGAACTGAGTAAGAAAGTGTTTAGTCAGTCAGTGAGATGAATTGGCCCTGTGCAGACAGTTCACATAATGGAACCCGTGACAATAATCTGTTAAATCTTGTCTTGCGATATCACGTTAGGTGGAAGTGGACTTAAATCCAAAGAAGTAATAGTAGTAGTAATAGTAGAAAAAGATTAATCTTTTGATCCCCCTAATAATTTAAATGGTGATTTGTACGAATATAAGGTTTCAAGTGTTTAAATTGTTTTAGGGTTTCTTGCTATTAATATCCTATAAATTGTGAAATTTTTTCCAGACTGAGCCCGTCCCAGGTGTAATGGTGATCGGTTTCAACTCCCCCTTGTATTATGCTAATGCCGAGTTGTTTGTTAGTAATGTTTATAAAGTAACAAAAGTCAAGCCTGAAAGACTTAGAAAAGTTATAAAGAAATTAAAACTAGAAGAGAGCGATCTTAAACCAGGAATTGGACAGGTGTGTATATATAATACGTGCTATTAAGCTTAATTTGTTTTGATTCGGAAATTAATCAAACAGACCGTTTTCCTGAAAGTTGGAAGGGGGCCGCACAGTGGCTCATAAACAAGAACTCCTGGGATTTTTCGTTCGAGTTTAACCATATCGTCCGTATCAGTACTGTAGGACTGACGGTCTGTCAGGGAAAACGCGTCAAGTCGTTTAGATGGTACTCATTGGTGGCCAGAACAGTCAGAATTCGATGTAGAGTAGACAGAAACGCCACTTCCTGGGCAAGATTCACTCCATACCCAACTGCATAAACTATATCCATCTTCATTAGCCCAGTTGGTACAGGACGTGAAACCCCATTTCATTTCAAAGTTAAAATATCCCGTGTTGAAAGTGGGTCAGTAAATTAAGGTTATCGTTGGGCATACTCATGTGCGATGTAATATGTGCTTTTTCTTTCTGGAACACATGGTCTCATTTGCATCTGAGACTTATCTTTGTGGCAAATTCGTGTAACTGACATTTTGCATATCTTGAAATTATGATTAAATTGTCATTATGTCATTATTTTTATGTTGTTCTAGAGGGCATTGCCGGTAACATTTACAATCGGGGTGGGGTGGGGTGGGGGGTTGATGGCCGAATGGTTAGCACGCGCGCGCTGTATCATACGGTCTGTCATTGAGTCAACTGGCGGGGTTTCGATTCCCCGGTTGTACGTGACATGGAGTAGGTCGCCTGTCCATCCTCGTGGGTTTTCTCCGGGTCCTTCGGTTTCCTCCCACTGCTAAAGACCCCTACGCGCAAGCGAATTATTGAAATAAAATTTACAATCGGGGTTGTGTCTGAATGTTTTTGTCCGACAGTTAATGCGGCACTGTTTTCTATACGACATCCATCTATCATATTTCTTATGATGTAAACCAATTCCATAATGTCATGACGTCTCATTTCAGAAAAATAGTACGATTAGTCAACAAGATTTACTACCTGATACCTCTATAAGATTACAGATGGAACGTTGTAGCCTGGGTTCTATTGATTCTTATATAAGTGTTGGTAGTGTCAGTACTATTAACGCTAAATCATATCCTCCAGATGATCCTAGACCTTTCCGCCATCTTATTATTGATTGTTCAGCTATGCATTTTGTTGATCCTGTTGGTGTTAAAATTCTTAAAACAGTAAGTGATTTTATTTAATCTTCGGAAACCCATCGAATGTCTCACTAAGCCATCGTCATGATAGCACAATCTTCGTAAGGATTCCATAACAAGTAATTCCAATGGAGGACTGGGTGTTTTGTTGTCTCCTGTAGATATTCAGGTTGTCACCAGTATGGCCGAAGTACCTACCAAAGTGTGATCGTCGGTTTTTATTTTTGCGGGATTCTAAAGTATCCGCGGTGCGGATTTTTTGAAAAGGCGATAGCAATCTGATTAAAACGAAATACAATATGTGCGTCATGGACAAATAGAATGTTATCCTAACTGAGAATCTTAAAACGAAAAATCTGCTGTGCGTGGATGCTGGTATATCTCCTCTATCCGCATAAGCACCCAAAGTTAGAATACTCGCCATTATTTCGAATCGAAAGATGTACATGCTGTCTTATGCACGTTTTATAATGTTGTCATCCTTGTCTTTTCAGTTGATCGCTGACTTCCAGGGTGTAAATATAAATATACTTCTCAGTGGTGTCAGGGGTAAGTTGTATTAAAATCGTCTGCCTCTTTGTGTAGCTCAAGGGGAGAAAAGTTACAAGTCGTATCTGGTTTAAATATTAGTTTATAATATAAGGCTCCATTACAACCAGGATATGCGTGGTTCGAATTCTCGCGTGAGTCAAGCCTGGTTTCTATTGCTTATGTAACACTGGGTGGTCTGTCAAGGAAAAGGTGCCGGTCGTTTGAAAGATATAAATTTACAAATTGTTAATGAACGCAAAAAATCCTGTATAGTTTGAAAGAAGTGCTGCTATTCGTCAAAATGTTCCCATTCCTATTGTGTGCCAGGCACGTGTCCAGAGGCAGTATCCAAAATCGGGGTCCAGATGTCCCTAACGCCAAACTTGACATTGTCTCCACCTTCGACCCTCCCTCCCCCATCCCCGGTGCTCAAATTCCAGGACACGCACGTATGTTTGGGTTTACCTCCATAAACATTAAATGATAGAAGGTATATATTGTTTACAGATGAAGTATGGCGGATATTTGAAGCGACTGATTTTCTCGAGAAACATCATGATAAAATATATTTAACTGTGTTAGACGCCATTACAGCAGCAAAAGA